GATTCTGTTCTTTGTGATTTGCTCACGATACCCAAATTCTCAAAGAGATTTCAGAACGTAGGACAAAAACCATAACGATATTAATTAGAACATATTTTACTGTTTTCAGTATTGTTAAAATGCACATGAAAAACGTATATTCTGCACATGTAATTATCAGGTATCAGATATGGTTGCCATCTAGAAACATGTCGAACAGGAAACGACCATTGACCCAGCCGTTTGTTACAATTTGATTCAGAACATACTGAATGAATTATAACAACAAAGACCTGACTGTGTAATTTCTGCATTCCATATATCTCTCCTGAAGCCATGCTGATGCCATCATGAACAAGTGTGCGATATTTTCGTTAGGTTTAAAGGCAGAAACTGTAAGAACGTTTATTGAGTCCATGGGCAAAGTTATGGCAACGGTACTTTGTATCGCTCTGAGCTTTCCGAGACAGTAGAACATAGAAGAAACGAATACGCCAATTGCGGCACCGGACTGTATCGACAATACCATACCAAACACCACACTGGACAACGTACTGAATTCATTCCTGTTTAAGATAATTTTGAGAATGGACCTTGGTTCATTACTAGGAATGTTTTGGCTCCAACATTTTGACGATTATAATATTATAATATGTAAGTACTATTTCAGACCAGTTCTGTTCTTCAACCGTTCAATCGATCCCTTTCCCGAAATCCAAGTCGATTTGATTTATATCCCCTGTAGTTACGGACCGCGTATTCTCAAAACGATCTTAGCTCTAGGTTGCACTAGCCAGAGAAGTACTCTACTATAAAGCTTCTCCAAACTAGCTGAAGTTCTAGTTTTAATCTCGGCCTTGAAATAAGAATTAACACATAAAAATCGTGTAAATGGGAGAATAAAAATATAGAAAGTTTGAAGATAGTGAAAACATCTGGGGAAGTAATTTCACGTTGATAGATAAATCTGTAGGGGAGCAGAAGATGAAAATAATGTAAAAGAAAATGAAAAACACGATATAAAAACGCGATAAAAGCCGTGTTATTTGTTCTCTGTGTAGATATTGTAAATTTATTAGGTTATGGTATCATTTGTTATGTACTTTTTATACGCCCACACATAAGATGGGTGATGATCGGATAATTTTTCACCGAAATATCGTGTCTGACTTGACGTTTCACTCTATTAGCTATATTGTGCAACTCGTGTTAAATCCACAGGCGACAATTCTTTACAGGTTCTTTTGATTTTGATTTTGTTTGTCAATGGATGGATTAAATATTGTATCGGCAAAATTGAACACATTTCAAGAACAAGGGCAATAACTCATACTCAATATTATTCAGTATCGCCCTAAAGAGTTCAGAAGAAGTGTATGACTGAAGGATGAATATTTCATACTGGTGATTCTTACGGTACTGCTAAATATTTTTATTCAAAATCAAAGCTTTCAGTGGGCGTATATTACCTTGCCTGGCAAGCTATCTTTTACCTACCACTTCGCCGTGAATCGGGGGTTAGAAAATTGGTTGTAAATTCCTCCTGCGTCCGTCGGTAAGTTGTCCCAGCAGATCCAACCTTTTTAGTTGATCCACTCGAACAACTTAACTAGGTTTATGGAAAGGAAAGTTATATTACTCTTCCATTCTTAAGTTCCCCTACAACTGAAAGAGGTTTTATCAGAGCAACCAATCCTAGAAAAAAGGTCCAGTTCAATTTGAGCCAGCTTTGAGCCAAACAGACAACAATCCATCCCCGGCAAGGTTCTAACTCCAGAATTTAATCATCACTAACTAAAGTCAACTTTCTAAACCACGGGCCCCAAGTCTCGACCCTTCAAAAATGTAGGGCGTAAAACTTTTTTCATTTCACACCTTTGATACTCTTTGATTCTGCCCATGATAATGATACAGTTTCTTGGCTCTTTGTCTGCTATAATACACCAAGGAGTTGATTACCAGATCATCAGAATGTTAACTGGACACCAGGGATTACATCATGGTACTCATTAATCTGATGAGCATGTTTTTACCATCTCAATTGGTTTTTGAAGCGATACTTCATTGTAAGTAAGAAATATCTACTCAATCATTGGGTTGTGTCAGAATCTCAGGATTCAGATATGGCGGTAATCCAGGTAATCCACTGATGTACGATTAACATTGATGGACATTAAAACCATGGGATGGATTTCTTTTGTATTATCAATTTTCCTAGGGATGCTTGAATACTGATTTTTAGAAGACTTCTTTACTATCCCGTGCTTGCCAGTATCAGCTAAGTGCTGACGCATTGATGATTAGTACAAGAGGTATTGAGTTAGTGAAGTCATAGAGGTTATACTGATGCCTGGCTATAAAGGGAGTTAATTAGCCTGTCCATTCAGAGAGGTTAACCGTATAGTAATCTGAGGTTAGTCAAGTGAATGATTAATAGTAATATCAATGTACAGTGGACCACTCAATTAGATGACATTATTCCGCTTGCCTGGTCTTCTACCCTCTTAATAACTGGACGGTATGTCAGGAAAATTCAACAAGTCATTCCTGTGGATATTCTGAATTATGGACACGACCAAGTCTTTTGGGGTACATTAGTGGCACTAAAAAAGATATTTTGAAGTGAAACGTTGTTCGAGAGTGAATCTATTTTCACAATATATTCGCGATAGTTTTAAAGGGTAGTTACAAGAAAACGTCATTCAATTCTCGTTAATTTCTGTCGGTATATAAGTTTTATACAAATAGTTTCTGAATTCACCACACGATAGTTTCAGAAGATAGCCGTTTTAAAATAAAGTTTAATTCACAATATGATAGTTTTCGAGGAAAATCTAAGGAAGTGTACCTGAACTCTTAATACGTAGGTTTCAGTGTGTAGTCAGTAAAGACCAATATTAAAATATTTTCAGTAACAATAGTTCCAGTAATGGTAAAATTTTCAATCTAATAGGTATGCCAGCTATGGTCGTATCTGAGTCGTTTGGAGTAAATCCTGTACTCATTGTACGACAGAAGGTAGACAAATTTACAATGAAGAAGGTAGCCGAGTACGATGACATTAGTTTTCTGTTATGAATTCCGATCCACGAGGCGTAGAAAATAGTAGAGATTATATTTATTATAGTCTTGTGAATATACTATATCATAGGTAACATCGTCAGGAACTACATCATTACGTAGATTATTTAAGAGGTTAAGGTCAGGCGGTGTATGGTTTTGATTCAAAATCTTTTATAAAACGCTGCTTCAATATATTTTTAGATTCGTAATATTCGAAATCATCTTGTATATCAACTTATATGAGAGTAGGGTAGGACATGAAATTGCATATCATAGCATCTTTCATACTGCAATACATATTGAGTAAAGTGAAACGTAAAGCAGCATTATATTAAGAGCTATATCTATAAATCAGTAGAACTTATAAATTAGTTATCTATTAGTGATGGAGAAATACCAGATCTCTACAGACTGAACCCTGATGGTTTACAGACCGACTTTAACTTGTAGCAGATCGTGAACTTGGTCTTGTCTTGAAGCCATCAGTCGACAAGATAATGACAGAGCTTTCAATACAGACAGTCTAATGAATGACTCGGCAGCTCTGCTACAAATTAGAGATATTTCTGCTGTAAATTAAAAAATACTCTAACTATAAGTTACGATATTGGTCCTCTTCAAAATAAATCTGTATTATATATTGGTAACGTGGGCAGCTTGTGAGTTCATTGGCATTACCATAAGTGTATTTAAGTGAAGTAAAGCCCTAAAACCATAACACAATACCATCGTTTTAGTACAATATGAATCGTAACATTATCGTTCTATTGTCGACTTCGTTTATGGCCCAGATATGGTCTTTATGCACCGTTAAAGGTCTGGGCACACGAGAGGTCTTGGTCGGAGACATTTGTCGCCGATTAGAGTCTTTTCTTTAGTTTCAACGACTGGCACGGGCACACGAGGAGGCAAAAATCTCCAGTCTGTCGTTTAATCACGTGTGGAGCATGCAATGGAAAGGAAAATGAATCTGATTGGATGATGACGGTCTGTCTTGCCAACGATAAAACTATCGGCGATAATTACCAATCACTTAATATTTTTCTCAAGACTCTAATTGGGCACAAAAATCTCGTGTGCCCGCACCTTAATGGAGTCTCTGAGGTGTTTATAGTACGCTTGTATGTTCTTTATATATGTCTTCGAAGGGCATTCAAACAGACAGATGAAAGTTGTGCTCGCTATTTTGGGAAATACACTTCCTTATCTTAAAGAGAAGAGGGTTGTTGAATGTTGACTGATTATAAAGAAGATCTTTGTTTAAAATTCTCAAATGATATTAATATGTATATTTAAGATTCTCTTCGTGACAATAAGTTCAAAGAAATCTCATAAAACAACAATTTCAATTCCATTTACAAACAGGCACTTGGAAAAATAATTGATATGTGGTGTTTTGGTACAAGTCAATTGAAAATGACAGACGGGTCACAATACGGTTCCACGCTTCATAATTAACCTATTGGGTATTGTCTAAAAACAATATTGTAATTGTTTTCAAGGGTGGGAGTCGTTTACATATCTACAAACATACAGATGTCTTCACTAGACATTATTGTTCCATGGTTTAGACTAAACAACCCTATCTTTAAATCTTGCAATAAATATCATTTGCTTTGTGGACGGTATAAAAGTCCGCTGCCAAGTACAGAGCAGCAATGGTACAGCACAAATATCCTTTTATCATGCCATAATCTATGGATATTCAACGTTTTTCGGATGCTCCACCGTGGAAAAGTTTTTACAGGGTGCACCACACCATATAAATACAAAGAATAGAAATCCTTTCATGATGGCCTTGAAAAATATTCACCACATGCAGTTCAATGTGTACCGAAAATTTTGAACAATCAATGCTTGTCCACAGACCAGCTGGTAGTAACTTAATTAGGAATCTAAGTTGTTATCTTTGTAAAATATGCTTGTAAATTAATACTTATACATTTTGTATATTTCAGCTGGATTTATGGGAGATATAGCTCTATCAGAAGAAGAATTTAAACGAGAGAGGAAATATCTTCAACAGATGAACAATACAATGTTTGAATTACAAGTAGAGGACCCTAGAACCACCTATATTGGTAGAAAACCTTCCAAATACTCAGGTCAACCAGAAAATACTCTTAAAAAACTTCCCATGTCAGAACTAGATGTGAAAAAGAAAAAATATCTTAGGAAAATTTTAAAAGAGAAAAAACAAAATTTAAAATCTTTATGTAAGAAGGGGTAAGTTGAAGCTTTCGTTGTATTATTTTCCAAACTTTGTTGTTATATAAAGTATAAAGAAAGAAGGGAACAGAGGACTGTAGATTCTCTACCAACAGATATATACAAGGTTTAGCTTACTTAATGCCTGCAATATACAAATCATTTTCATACACATTCTGGATTTGATCCGGATTGTACAGATTTCCATCTAGGGATGCAAAGCAAAATATGTTGTGATGATTGTCAAGTTCCGTTTTCAGTTGTGGGTAGGTGAAAGTGATGCTGTCAAATTGCCTAGTCCATTCAGACGTAGTCGTTAAAGAAATTGATGAGAACTATCATTGTATTCCTGATGACGGTGTGAGAACCACATTGAAACGTTGAAGTAATAGATATTCCAGAAGTATATATCCATATAATTGTCTTATTTATGTATCGTTAAAGAAATTGATGAGAACTGTACCTTCTATCGTATGGGCGAGGTCTTTATCAGTAATTACTTGTTTGATATACACTGATAAATATTAGTAATAGAAATGTCAAACTATTCAATTACATAATCATCATTAGGAAATACATTTTACAAATATTATAATTATAAGCTTGCATACCCTTATTCTTGTTTTTCGTAATGGGCGTGGTTTGGTTTTTTAAATGAGTTTGGTTTACAATGTCATTACATTAAAGTACGAATTTCAAAATACTAATTGTCTAGCGATATGTACATACTTTAATAACAGTATGTTTTATGCAGTATTATTAACTCACTGAACATGTATTGTGTATGATAAACATGTTATAATAGCAGGATTTTATTACTCAGTGTTATAACTCACTGAAATTGTATGTAAAGATACCTTGCATAACGAGTTTGAACAGATATGTGTAGTTTTGGAAAATTTTATGAGAATGACACATTGACAATTACCTAAAATACTTAATCGTGGAGAAAGCCCCACCTATTGTACCGAATGAATTTAGAAAATGCAAAAAGGCTTGCACAATGTGATTATCATACATAATTATTTTGGCAATTTTACAATCTCATCCTTTTCGTTAAGTAAAAACTTGTTCTTAGTTTAAATTGAGTGAATAAATCTTCAATTTACACTTTAAAACCGATTATACTGGAGATTTGTCGGTAAACATAATTATTCTGTTACGTAAAACTGAAATCAATAAAATACCAATTGTTGATCAACAATGTCTATCACAATGAGAAAAGTCTTTATGTACCTATCTTAATAGCAATTCAAAATTCACAGTTCGGATTCCTACGAAATCAATAAAGAGTATCGGAAAATAATCATCTTGGATTATCCAAAGTGGAAATGAATTTCTAATTGAGGTGTCAAAAGAATAAGGAAGCGTTTTTTTGGATAATGTACTGAACTGCACAAGCAAACAAGCTAGCATCTCAGAGACGCATTCAAGAGGTCATACTTGTCAAATCAAAAAGATTAAATTCTGCACTTGTGCAAGGTCTTATCGCCCATCACTTTGTAATAAAACATTTGAAACATTTTGCTACATAGAGTTATAATTATTATATCGACAATGTATTTATTATATTATATCGATATCACGGCGATTGTTGCTCGTGTCGACGTTCCACGTACCTGGATGTTCATTGCTGCATTTTTGACGTTTGAAAGAATTCGCAAAAACATTTTAAGTTGTCCACTTCTAATTCCCCGCATTGACAGTTATAGAAAACAGACTATAGTATAAGGATGTAGAATATTTTGGTGTAAAATGTATGAAAGAAGATATCATGTATAGCATCTCTATATCTGAACCGACAATCTTAATGCATAAATATTTCAGATTTCAAACAGTAGTTTACACAAGACAGGTTCCCGTTGGTTTTAAATTTATTTCACCATTCCTCTACCTATTAGACTTGAATATATTATGATGGATGGTCTTGTAATTAGTATGAAATATGTGTTTATTTTTCTTTAAGAGAAGAAGCATGTTGTTCTAAGAAACTAATTTAAACATGAGATTAACACTCGACAGTTTGTATTGCACTATTATTTAACTGCTAGTTGAAGCTAGTTCTACCAATATTTCATAAAATGAAAAATAAAGAAAATACACGATATAGATCGGCCACCCAAAAAAACGTGTACAAAGTCCATCCTCGCCTTTCTTAGCTCAATGACTCAATATAAAAACCAAGGGAAAATTCCGTTTACTAGGGGGAAGATGGTTGATTTCTTACGGAAAAGACGAGTTCATTCAATGTCCACCATGGCATTGTCTGTACAAGAACAAGAGATCGCATAGAGCTCCATGTACAATGAACAAACCTATTGACTCCCCACGAACAATAGTTTCACCACACAACCGTATTTCATCACCAACTACCATCCCAGACTATCAACTATCTTGACGATGATAGATCTAGAACCTTTACACATGTTATAATGACAGATAACAACTCTCATCTGTCAGTTAATCTTGAAATAGTTAGATACCACCCCCTACAGTATAAAACCTCTTCGTTACCTGAGATTTATTATTAGAATTTTTTAAATGACAAAACGTTTTGCTAAACGGTTTGATGCACGATTACTCCTGTTGAAATCTATAATACAGAAACCAGTTCAATACCTAAGATTACTATTAGAGATATTCAAATGAAGTATTAATTACAGAATGGTTTTGGTTAGCATTATAAGCGTCTTGCCCACAGATTGGAGGTTTTGAAGTGTTTTCAGCAACCATTACGAGTTAACCTAAAAGATGGTAATGCCACAATGATTTTCGGTTTGAATTTGGCAAGTAGGGAGTGATTTAAGACTTGCCACCGTTTACTGGACAAAATAGCAATGTTTCAATTTCAAGCAGATGGGATCAAAATTAAAAATATGAGGCGTTGGTCTGACTCTTTGGCGCTACCTTACATGAAACACAAAATTTGAATTAAAACGTACCCAAATGATATCATTAGCAAAGTAAAAATCAATCAGGGATATGTTGACAAACCCAGTGTTTATCATTTCGTAAATATGTTATTGTAGTTGTATGTAGAAAGATGCCAGGGAAGATTGCCTTGTGCAACTGGGTACCTAATGAAATTATTATTATTATAATGGCAGAGCATTATGAAATGATCAGTATATCTGGATGTTATGATTCATACACAGTTTATAAGCAATGTGTCCAATGATCTTAATAAAAGTTTAAATCATGTGTGGCTCAGAGGCCAAATTCTAGTCAGTAACAGTACTTTTGAATACGATATTGTTGGTAAACATAGTTAAAACACCAAACATACTAAATGGTTTTAAAGAGACCATGGTCATCATCAAAGACTCGGTACATGTTATTTTGACCACAGGAATACCTGAGAATAGATCTATATCTTTTAACAGTTCGTCATTTAACTGATATCTGTAAACAACCCAAAACATCCATAAACAATGTTAGATCTATTAAAGCAATATGTATTAATGAGATATCTTTCAGTACAACTGGACAGTTAGAAACAGTCAGTGTTTTTCTTATTTACTGGTTTTTATTGCCAAGTTGATTCTTTCATGTATTTCTTTGAAAGGTTTCAATGAATGTGTGTGGTGTTAGACCAATTAGCAAGGTCGAAAGCCATTTGTACTTATCAGTAATAAGGCTCGTAGAAGCTGAAAAATGTTGAGTTGATCAGTCGTTCAGAAAGGGTGAAAAAAAATGTTTTGTCGTTGCGAGTTATCTTTAACTCTTGTACCAGCAAGAACGAGAATCGCCTTTGACGTCAGCACCAACCTTGATGAACTTTATTAGGGCCGCAGCGCAGTAGCTTAGTGAGTTAGACGCTTACTTGTTAACCTGAAGTTACTTTATTCAATTTCGGTCGGTGAAAGTTGGAAATTCACAAAGAGCAGTGACTTAACTACCATAGGGACTGGTTGAACAAAGTCCACGGGCCCACTCCCAGAAATCTTCAGAATGCAGGAGAGCATACGTTGAAAAAAATATTACCATCTTGTCGAGCCACAGAAAAAATTGTAGACCACACACGCTGTTTGGTCAAAATTTCGTATGCATGGTATTGTCACATTTCAATATTCTGAGCACAATACAGGGAGCACAGTCATGGTCTCCTAAATTTCCCACTCCCCCATTGATGAAATGCAGCCAGATCTGACTTATTAAAATGACCTTCAGATAAAGATCAAGGTTTATAAATTTTGCTTTCTTGTCTGGACCTTAAATTAAATTTCCAATAAAATCTTGGGCACATTCAGTGAATCGTTCATTTAAATATATTTTTTACTAAAAGATTGATTGATTTAAGTGGATTTAAAATTCTGTTTAAATTTAATTTTAATGGAGGAGATTTTAATTTATTTATTTTTCTAATCTACTTCGAGTTTAAATCTGGTTTTCGTTAAACCTGAACCTAATCTTTAAATTGGTGAATAGTTCTGTTTGCCAGAGACGCGTTCATTCTTAATAACAAATACATGTAATCCGAAACATTCTTCATTGATGCAACTGGATGTTTGGAAGAGTGTTATATTCAAAAGCAATAACAAAGAATGATCACTAGACGGAAGGAAAAACATAGAATTTTGACTTGGAAATTGTCTAGGTTTTTCTGTTCTATGGTTGCATCGAAAAGTCAGGACTAAATTTTCAATTACCTTTCATGACCTATGCCAGCATTTCTTTCAGATTATGTTTCACTGTTGTACAAATGACCTCCAATTTCAACTATACTTCATCCATAAGTCCCATGACTAACCCACAATTTTGTATATTTTCAGGAAAAAGTGTCGAATGCAGAGAAGACAAGCCAAAGATGAAATAAAAAGCTTAAGAATAAAATTACGAAAATTACGACAGTCAATTCGTGCAAAGAGAGAACACAATAAACGAGTAACCGATCAAACAGTCAAAGGCAAAACCAAGAATAAAACAAAAAGACAAAAACTTCATAAGAAAACAAATGTGAGTCATAAAATGAAGAAATTATCGAAGAAATTAAAGAGAACAAGGCGAGCTGCTACTGCCAGACCAGAGAGACTGTGGGATTATGCTGTTATACCGTATGAAATAGAGCTGAACTTTACTGGTAAGTAAAATCTTGCATCATATCATACAAACTGTATCCTGTATCCTGTGGAGTTGAGATCTGGGTTTTCATTTATGAATCACCTTCAGTATGGGCCAATCCATACATTCCCCTGATCGCCTGCTTAATAATATACCACTAGGCTCTTAATAATATACCACTAGGCTCTTAATAATATACAACTAGGCTCTTAATAATATACAACTATGCTCTTAATAATATACCAAAAGGCTCTTAATAATATACCAAAAGGCTCTTAATAATATACCACTAGAATCCTAATAATATACCTCTAGGCTCTTAATGATATACCAGTAGGCCCTTGATAATATACCTCTAGGCTCTTAATAATATACCACTAGGCTCTTAATAATATACCACTAGGCTCTCAACAATATACCAGTAGGCTCTTAATAATATACCAGTAGGCTCTTAATAATATACCACCAGAATCTTAATATTATACCACTAGGCTCTTAATAATATACCTCTAAGCTCTTAATAATATACCACTAGGCTCTAAACAATATACCAGTAGGCTCTTAATAATATACCACTAGGCTCTTAATAATATACCACTAGGCTCTCAACAATATACCAGTAGGCTCTTAATAATATACCACTAGGCTCTTAATAATATACCAATGGGTTCTTAATAATATACCACTAGGCTCTTAATAATATACCACTAGGCTCTTAATAATATACAACTAGGCTCTTAATAATATAACACTAGGCTCTTAACAATATACCACTAGGCTCTTAATAATATACCAATAGGCTCTTAAAAATATACCAATAGGCTCTTAAAAATATACCAATGGGCTCCTAACAATATACCATAAGGCTCTTAATAATATACCAATGGGCTCTTAATAATATACCACTAGGCTCTTAACAATATACCACTAGGCTCTTAATATTATACCACTAGGCTCTTAATAATATACCACTAAGCTCTTAATATTATATCACTAGGCTCTTAAAGAGTTAGACTAAGGACTCATCAGTAAGTTACCACTTTCAGTAAGCGACACTTTTTTATCATTCGTTGCTTAATATAAATTTAACTTTACTATCATAAGAAAAAGTTGATGAAACAAAAACAGGACAGAGTGCAGATTTCAGTTATTTATGGAACAGGATTCAAATTTGTACGGAATCGCATCGCAGTTTGCGAGTCAAAATGACTCGTTTTGCGATCCGATATTTCATTCTATTAGCCAAAACTAACATTTCGACAATCTGCGAATCAAATCAAATTGTATATTTGAATGTTTGCAACTGGACCATTAAAAATTTCTACCAAATTTTTAAGAAATGCCAATCAAAATTTAACTCCGTTAGCCAAAACTAAAATTTGTTATGATAAATTCCTTATCAAATCTTTCAATCTAAATTTAACCCTGCTCCGGAAGTAGACAAAAAAGTGATGATTTTCATATAGCAGACTTAAATTAACTAATTTAGAAAAGTTAATTAACATTAAAAAAAATAGATTTTACATCATAGATTAGTTCTTTAAATCAAACAGTTTTCTAAAATGTAAACATTGCCAACTTTAGTGCAATTGTTACGTTCCGGTTACCCAGTTGATTCTATTGGACCATTTGGTACGATTGGTTGGTTGGGCGGTTGCTGTGGAATCTTGTTGGGCCTCTGGTTTAATTCGTCACGCAAATAGTATCGTATGCATTGGGAATCTCAATAATTATGCTACCACATTAGACATTTTAAGCATGTAATACCCAAATTGACTATTTTATTTTCTAAAAATGAGATCAATTGATGTCAGTATATTTTTACCTAAAAATTCTTGAATGAAACACAACATCTAACAATGGGCCACTCTGCTTTAAAATTCAAATTGATCTCCCTTCTTTTATCATTGTAACAAAGTGACCACTATCAGATCATTTTCAACGCCAATTCTTAAACTGAAAGCGGCATACATCAATGGACCACCGCTCCTGTTTGATATGCCTATGTTTATTATAACATGTAGAAGCAGTATAGTAGAGGATATATCTGGCACTAGGTCAGACCAACCTGTAATAACATGGTATAAACAGGGCGGTTATTATTCCATCATCATCATCTACCTAATTAACATGTTTATCATATCTTATCTAATTAACTTCACTTTTAATTAAAAAATGTTAACCAACACTTGGTTCAAATTACTAATTACTTTCACAACCCCGACCGACCTTCAAGTTTTAATATGAATGAACTTCTAGAGTTTCTCTTCTTGTTTTCATTTCTGTCGATTCCATTTTGACAGCATCCCACTCGACGATAAACATGTTTGTTTTCAATGCACGCGTCAATTGTGTTGTAGTCTGTAAATTGCATTTTGCATTTCCATGTTTCTTTTCGACAGTTTAAAGCCGCAAACTGTACGTTGCACCAATGTGTCTGGTACGGTGCACGGTTTGAGACTATCGATACAGTAATTGTAGAAGAGAATCGGACCCGCACCTCGAGTATTGGCTTCTTTTATTGCCCATGTATTCTGTATGGATAATCCCATACTGGACACCGTATCTCGTCTATGCGCGGCTTTATACCACCAAATTCAAGTTGGCGTATCTGGTCAGGAAAAGAAAACTTCAAGAAAGCATTATTCGACTTGTTGCGATTAGAGGATTCGAACCTGTTGGCACCTCGGGGTATGTCTGATCTGTTTATCACGACCATGGTTCTCTATCAAGAAAACCTTCAAGTGTAGGAAATTCGATTAAAACTTTTTCTGATTCATAATCTATGTTTATATGTGAAATATACAAGTAATGATGTTATACATTATATTTTAAATATTTATGTCTGTTGAATTAGGTCTAAGATCAGAATTTGGTAAAATAATCAAAATTTTTTATATTTCACAGTGTTGTGATTTTATTGAAGCCATGTCAATTGAAAGTACACTTACCAATGTGTACTTATTTACATATCACATAGACAGAAGTAACTTCTAAATCTTTCTGGAACGCCAGACATCTTCTAATCTCCGGATTGATCCCACTGTTGTACTATGGTTGTACTACAGCTAAACTTTAGCATAGATTCTAGAGAGTTGCCAACTGTTGCCCTGTTGCCCTGTTGTAAGACAACATTTAAGACTGGACTATATTCCCGAAAACGGTCAACTATACACTATAATAGAGTATAGTTAGCTTATACAAGGCATCACATTCCCTGTAACTCCAGAACGTGGTTCATGTGGTACTATCATGAACTCAAAGAAGGCATCACATAACTCTGGGTATACTCCAGATAATAATACATAATGCTGTATTGTTTCACAAATGTTAAACTCCTCCTTGTGATCTCAGTCCCATTATCCAAATTTCATAGACTTGGGAGTAACAATAAGAAATATAAATTGCAAGCTTAGTTCATAGCCTGGGTCGTTAGACTTGTCGTTAAGAATAAAAGTACACCATCTGCAGTACACACATAAATATTGTAACTTAAAACATAAGAATTTGACAATTTGTAGACGGTATTTTTTGAAAGTTTTCAGATGTCTGTATAGATTTTCTTACCACCACATGTGTGTCCTGCATAATACATAAAACTTGTTTTGAATAAAGGAATTTATATCCAGACAACCGACATAGATTTTAAAAAATTTGCATACTCAGCCGAAAATATTCTAATAAGATATTCACAAACTGAAAATATTTTTGAGAAAATTGAGAAAATTAGACGAATATATCAAACAAATAATCTTCAAAACCCAATACTTGATTAAATTAACTCAGTTAAACCAAATTTAAATTTGCGTATACTGTTTTTCGGAATCTTATGTGGCTACATTATAAAGACTGAAAACGATATAAAGTATATCAGAAAGTCAATATTACCATCACAAACAGACTAATGTTTTCATTTGTCAAACCTTATTTTCCGTGAAAGGACCCTAACAAGCACCCGAAGAACTAACCCTATGTTCCTAACCTTTCATACAGTAAAAGTAAGATATCACTTTAACAAGAGATTCAACTTGAATACATTACCAAAATGGAAAATCTGTATTGCATGTCACAGTCGATTGTCCCAGACACACCCCGCCTTTCGTATGTTATATATTTGTATTGTATTATTGTAGGTGCGAATAAAGCCCTGTTTAAACTAGCTATGAGACATTGGGAGAACCATACTTGTGTTATATTTGTGGAGAAGAAACCTGAAGATCAGAACTATATTGTTTTCACTGAAAGACCTTGTGGGTAGGTCCATGTTTTATACTGGTATTACACTTCAAATAACATAACGCAATTTTATGGTATTCTACACCTAATTTGTTATTCTACACAACGTTTCAACAAGTTACATTGTCCTCATCAGGTCAACAGAAGCAACTGTTGTCTCACCAATGCCTGAGCCATCAGTTCTTATTGGCACCAATAATCAGCTGCAGCAAGACAATCCTTATTTCTTTTGTCTTTATCACCAAAGATCGTCTCGCCATCGTCAATAATAAATCAAATGTTTATTATGATACCTGTCTCTGTTACAGTTGTTGTTCATTTGTTGGTAAACGAGGTAACGGAGCTCAGGCTATTTCTATTGGTAAAAACTGTGATAAATTCGGTATTGTTGTTCATGAACTTGGTCACGTGATAGGATTTTGGCATGAACATACGAGAACTGATAGAGATGACCATGTTCAGATTGTATACAAGAATATCATGCCAGGTAATTTTTAGTTGTATTGTGCATATACCAAGTAGACTGGACTACAAGAGTGTTATCATATTTTTTGTTAGGGGAACGGGTGGGGTCCCGTCGGAGGTAAAGATATTTCTAAAGTATACCTGCATAAATATGTAATGGTTACTCAGGTAATAAAATTAAGCATTCAAAAAAACCTCTCAGTTTTGAATGTCAAGGAGTTGAACCATAGTGTGAGTTGTAGCTGAAACTCTGCTAATCGGTATTACAAGTAAGATACTAGTCAGCAGCAATAACTATCAAAATCGGCAGAGCATTACATCATTAGATCACATTCTGATTTGAAGCTAGGCCCAGCAATGCTCGCGATCTCTTGTACCATAATAACTTGCCAAAAGTTTTAACAAACATCTTTATTGTGAAAATTGTCTTACATTACAGAATTCATGATTTCTTGTTCTAGGTCAAGAATACAATTTTAATAAATTAACATCAAATGATGTAAATAGTTTAGGCGAAGAATACGATTATGGTAGTATTATGCACTATGCTCGCAATACCTTCGCCAGGAACACCTTTTTGGATACCATTCTACCCCGTCGTAAACCAGGAGTACTGGTCAGACCAGATATTGGACAGAGAATACAACTTAGTCCCGGTGATATCCGTCAAGCTAAAAAACTTTATAGATGTCCAAGTAAGTATAGTTATAAACACATGGTAAATCAACCTCTGTACCTCTGTGTCTCCTAACCTCTTAGGTAAATGTTGCTCTCCGCAATACACCATTATGAATCAAGAAATAGCGATAGTTGTCCATCTCTTTATTAACACTTCTCTTGTTTCAGCCTGTGGACGAACATTACAAGAATCAGCAGGACGATTCCGTCATGATCCTAAAACAGGACTGGGAGAGGTCTGTCAATGGAGAATATCAGCTACTCATGGTGAAAAAATTGTACTAAATATAACAAGACTAGAACTACCAGTATCCTATAACTGTCAAACTGATTATATAGAAGTTAGAGATGGCTATTATATCAAATCACCATTATTAGGTTAGTGTTTAATATGCACGTACATTCTCTACTGTAAATTTCAAACTCATTATATAGAAGTTAGAGATGGTTATTATATCAAATCACCATTATTAGGTTAGTATTCAATATGCACGTGCTTTCTCAAGCTATAAGTGTGAAGCAGAATTCATAGAGTTTATTATATCAGGTTAGTATTCAATATGCACGTGCACTCTCTTATGTAAATGTCAAACATATTATATTGAAGTTAGGGATGGTTATTATATCAAATCGCCAATAATTAGGTTAGTATTCCATGTGCATTCTTTACTGTATTTTAATCTCAAAGATAGTTATTATATAACCTTTTTATGTTATCAATTGGTATGCTTCCTCGCAATATAGCTGCCTCACAGACAGACAAATATGAAGTATGGTGAGCTCAATATGCCATCAGTGTGGAGATTTTAGACTGACTATCTCTATAGGCCTCCTTTCGATTTGTCATCAATTCTGTGTTTGTGTGTTAATATGTTTATTTCTGCATTTTCAGGACGATTCTGTGGAGATAAAATACCAGAAACTATGGTATCAACAGATACTAGAATGTGGATAGAATATAGAACTAATAATGGTCTAGGAAAAGGTTTTGTTGCTGAATATGAAGGTATGATAAAGACCTGTGCTATTGACTTAGTTTTGGTATTTTGAGCTAATCCTGGCTTTTGGCGTTAATGAGTTGAAATCGTTCAACGCTCTTGTACACACTTATCCAGAGTGGGGTTGATGTATTCAGAATAGAGCAAATTAATCCGAAAGCACGTGATGTACCTATACAAATGACAAATGACTTTTAAGATCATGGAGCAAAATCATAATTTCAAGATTCTTCTATTTTTAAAGTTCTGTCCTTCAATAAGGTGGCTTCATTAAGTCATTTATTTGCTTCACATCTGAAATCGATCTCTTTACAGCTATCTGTGGTGGTGAAATTGTAAAAGACACGGGACACCTGACATCACCTAACTACCCAGATGAATACAGACCTAATAAAGAATGTGAATGGAAAATAACAGTTCCTGAAAAATACTCAGTCGCTCTCAAATTCCAATCTTTTGAGGTAAGTTCAGATATACGAAATTTGTAGCATTTAGAACAGCGATGAAAATTCCAACGATACACATCAGGACAAACACTGATAGGCTATTTCACATAGTACAGGCCAGTGTTTTAAGTGTATGGGAAATGAGTGAACCGCAATCGCACTATACAGGCGCAGACTTTGTATAGATTTCACCCCCCCCCCCCTCCTCCCCCTATGAGACCTTGGTATATTATTAATGTACCCTTAATTCTTTCAGATCGAGAACCATGATAATTGTGTCTATGATTATCTCGAAGTAAGAGATGGACATGAAGATTCCTCACCCCTGATCGGTAAATTCTGTGGATACAAAATTCCAGAAGATATTAAATCTACCGGAAATAAACTTTATGTTAAATTTGTCTCCGATGGTTCAGTACAAAAAGCTGGTTTTGCTGCTTCCTTCGTTAAAGGTTGGTTCTCTTTTAATGAGTTTTAGAACTATTTGAACGCATATCATCATTATTTAGCCTGCTGCTTTATTTACCAATTTATGACCAATATTAAAATTTTAAATGGACTTGTGAAATTGTTTAATGTAAAAATCTATTCCAGAATATGATGAATGTAAGACAGATCTCCATGGTTGTGATCATAATTGTGAAAATACTCTCGGTAGTTTTAAATGTACGTGCAATATTGGCTTTGAACTACATTCTGATGGCAAACGATGTGAAGGTACGTGATATTTATACATTGACTCCGTTTAACATAATCATAGCTTAGATTGACTGGGAGGGAGAAGTAAACCCCCAAAGACTAGATGAAGAAGTTTCAACAACTGGACTTCAAGCAATGGACTTCAAGCCATTTGGATTAACTTAAATATGAGTGAACAACTCATCTAAATTTTCTTCTTAAAACCTTTCTACTTTTCAACTTCACCACCAACTACCTTAAACGGTGCCCGTGTTCATGATTTGTTTCTAGTTATCAATTAATGGCAATGCTGATCGTTGTTATTCATTGAAGTTATTTTGTTGTAGATGCGTGTGGTGGTTATATTAAAGCCCAAAATGGATCTCTACAGAGCCCCTCGTTCCCAGATCTTTACCCACCCAACAAAAATTGTGTCTGGCAAATTGTAGCCTTGCATCAATACAGAATTATGCTCAATTTTACACACTTTGATCTGGAAGGTAGCAATGTAAGTAGATATTTTTATTACCAAGATTATCTTGAAAATTATGTTGACGATGTTTGTACTTTCTAAAATTCGCGAACTTTGTCGGACAGTGACTTCATGCAAAATTATGTATATTTCTGTAGCAGCATTCGCATCGTTCCCAACAGTATCAATGCACCTGAAAATTCTGAGAGAAACTATACAAATTGTGGACACCATAAACTGTATTCATATTAATGGTCCAGAAATCAGTTAAACATGATCCCTAATAGAACAAATTAGTTCCGTTCACTCAAAAGTGTTAGATTTTAAATACTTCAAACCATCCCCGGTCTCACCAGTGCAACGCAGCTGCAGTTGTTCTGAATAGATATTGTTTCCATTGCAGCAAGACTGTGAGTATGATTCAGTCAGAGTTAGTAGTGGAACTGGTAAAGATTCTACTCTACATGGTGTATTCTGTGGTTCCACTCTACCTACACCAGTAACCTCAGAAGGCAACGTTCTTAGAATAGAGTTCAACTCAGACAACTCTGTCCAGAAAACTGGTTTTAAATCCATGTTCATGACTGGTAAGCACCTGAATCCATCTTTAGATTTTTCTCGTATATATTGATTGATGTGGGGACAACAAAGGTCTATCAGCTGATACATAAATCGACAAACAGGAGAAGAACTGACAGAGCTAACCCTCTTAATCAGTCAAATCTGCTTTGGAACAGTAAAAATGAAAAGAAATGAATGTAGTTTTACGTTCTACTTTTCTGCTTTACTTTGGATCAGTAGTATACAAATCCTGTACCCATTAAAAATATCCTTCAATCCATGCTTCTGTGGGTCTTTTGGAGGGCATCATCATACACCCTTCCTGTTGTTGAACATTAGGGCAGCTATCCCCATTTCATTATGTTAAGAGCCCATATGTATTACAAACGATTACCCTATAATGTTCTGAATACTTTGCCGTGGGGTTGTTTTCAGAGACCATCGCCAGACACCTTAGGATGCTGAATAATGAGACGTAAAACTCCCTTCTTTCTCTTTTTAGATAAAGATGAATGTGCAGAAGAAAATGGTGGTTGTCAACATATCTGTAAGAATAATATCGGTAGTTTTGAATGTGCCTGTGATAATGGCTATACACTGCATGAAAATAAACTCGACTGCAAGGAAGGTATGTAATCGTTCGATTTCTTTGTGAGTCACCGACTATTTGTGGTATGTTCCGGATGGACTTGCTTTGATGTTCAGTTGCTGATAGCTCATATTCAGCTTGTATGCATTTTTCAGGTTCGTCCATAATTCAAGAAAACTGTACTAGCTTCTTCCAAGCATGTATCAACGAATGTCCAATTGAATTTTTAACACAGATAAATCTATTTCGATTAGTATTCAAAAGTAATTATTGATCGTAATTTTTTTTTTATTGTGAACTGTTTCAGGTGGATGCCAACATGAGATTACTGTGCCATCAGGAGAGATCAGTAGTCCCAACTGGCCGCAATTTTACCCCAGTCGTAAAGACTGCGTGTGGCACTTCACCACCAAACCTGGCCACAGAGTTAAGCTCGAGTTTGAGGACTTTGAACTGGAACCCCATCAGGAATGTACGTACGATCATATCATTGTCTTTGACGGTGATGACAATAGTGCCAGATCTTTGGGAAGATTCTGTGGTGGAGATAAACCTGAACCAATTATCTCTAGTGGTAATAGAATGTATATGGTCTTCTATTCTGATGCTTCTGTACAGAGGAAGGGATTCCATGCCAAGCACGATTCAGGTGAGTAAAGCCAAATTCATCAAGTGCTTTCTGGTTAGGACCGGTGCTGACGGTGCTGTTGATTGGGTGTATCTGTTGTGTTATTGACATATTATTCAGATTTGTCAATAGGCCTACCTCCGTTACCTTTCTAGTACCATTAATGAAGAAGATCAAAGACGCTTATTACCCTCGGTGAATGGAGTTCATATAAATATGAACTAAGAAAAAAATCAAATGCCTCTGTTTCAGTTTGTGGAAGTCACCTGGTTGCCACAGAAAATCTACAAGACGTCTACTCTCATTCTAAATATGGTGATCAGAACTATGATAATAGAGCTAAATGTGAATGGACACTTCAAGCTAAAGAAGGATTCAGGATACATCTCAAATTTACAGCTTTTGAGATAGAAGACGAAACAGATTGCTCGTGAGTGAAATTCTTGTGAGATATTAATATATGATATTATCTAACGAATTAAGGGGGTGGAACTCTTGATCCATCCAAATCACAAAAAGAAAAAAAATCTGACATTTGCCTTATAGATTTAAAAAAAAAGTTACTAAGTTTGCAACGGTACGACAGTGAATCACCTTTCTTGACTATAAACCACCCCTAGAAACTACCCAACTATCAGGTGTTTGCCATATTGAGTCACCCTTTGAATGAGTTATGTTCCATAAATTTCAGTTGATAGTGCTGCTCATCCTGGTGATATACACGATGCTGATGTATAGATTCCATGGGTCACCCTTTTCTTTAATTGTACACAAAATCCATCATTACTGAGATAGTCGGTTCCAAAGCATCTCGCCATTGCATATTCTACAATCATTTGATTATTTTCAGGTATGATCTGGTAGAAATAAGAGATGGTATAAAAGATGACAGTACAGTATTAGGTCGTTACTGTGGTAGTGCGGTAAGTTATAACAGATTTCATCTTTCAATCAGAGTGTGAATTCAGTAATGACAAGAGGTTAAATGAGATAAGTGGTCGCCCTTTGGGGGTAGTGAAAATGATTTGTTGGTCGATTTAAACATAGGCATGACGATGTAGACATTTTCAGTAGATTTGAGGAGTTTTATGAATCTGCCTATTTTCACAAAGTTTTTATATTTCCAAACTAACCCGTTCACTCACACTCATAAAACTTTTCATTCTATATGTAATTATTTTTTGTACTTCCAGGCTCCTAAAGAAATCATCTCCTCAACAGAATATTTGATGATTCGTTTCAAATCAGACGATACGATTAACTGGAAGGGATTCCATGCTGTCTATAGTCTTGCTCATCCAGCCCAAATTGACTACGATTTAAAGGAGCTGGACACCGAGTTCAATTAGCATGACTCCGTGACACATTGACTCATTGACTCAGTGACTCCATAGTGTGAGCTGTTTCTATTTATTGTGTTTACCGAGTGTTGCGTTACTCGTCAGAAGGTATCCCAAGATGTACATTGTGGAGGATATTGACCAATCACTGTTGAGCTTACAGATTGTTTGAATGTGAGAGCCAATCAGTGTGGTTATTATATAATAAAGGCAGGGTCGTAATCTGTTATTAAATATATCCTAAAATGATCCGTACTCAACCCGAGCTGAACACAGGCGTACATGTAAGCCCACAAATGCTATAAAAATATCTCATTAACTCAAAAGCATTTGGTTTTTAAGTACTACGGACGCCTATGTTTTTGTCTCAACATGAAAGAGTTGGCAGCAGGATCTGAGTGTGTGCGGGAACCACTTTGGAAACAAAAGTTGTGAAATGTTTAACCAATCAATATGTTTTTAAGTTGACTTCTATGTATTTGTAAATATTGTTTTTTTATCTTTTGATATGAAGTTATCTAATTGTAAAGTATCGACACTGTAGACTGTAGTTTTGTAGTTTTAAAGTTTTTAGCTTAGTTATCTTTTACTGATATCTATTACTCTTATTTCTAAAATCTTTTTATCTTTTTATAAATCTAGTCAATGCGCTTTATCTTTTCATGTATCTAAAGAATTGGGTGAGTCGACAATGGACCCGAGGGCTCATAATTTCTAAAGTCAAGATAAGATCATACATCGCTGATTAAAATCTTATGATGGTGGTAAAATCCTTTAAACTGCTCCATCTTGGTTGTTAATTCTCGTGGGATATTTCATCATAATGATATCTTGAATTATATAAGCATGAAATTATCATTTTAATATTATCATTTATAGCCAAATTCTAAATTTTTAGTTTGGTTTAGATATTTTATTGTATTTCGACTCAACTTTTGTGTATCGTGAAGTAATAGCTTACATTTTACGTATTTTCATCTATAAACCAATGTCTTCTTAAAATTGATTTGAGGAGATAGTCGTAGTGTATTTTATAATCTGTTCTGTCATTATCTTTATCTTTATTTGTAAATACTGTTTAATAATTTATATATTACTCTCTATTGTACAGTATATTTCTTGATAATATTAACAGTCAAACATTGTAGAATTAGTGTAGAATTGAAAGGAAATGTAGTTTTAACTTTTTACAGTATTTCAAATCCAATAAACAGTCAAATACTTCTTCAAATTGTGACTCATATTGATCAGTCCATGACTCATATTGATCAGTCCATGACTCATATTGATCAGTCCATGACTCATATTGATCAGTCCATAACTCATATTGATCAGTCCATGACTCGTATTGACCAGTCCATGACTCGTATTGATCAGTACATGATTCATTTTGATCAATCCATAACTCATTTGGATCAGCAAACACTCCGACAGTATAGTCCATAACTATGATAAGTTCATGACTCCTATTGATCAGTTTATGACACTATTTGACCAATGGATCAGCCAATAACCTATATTGATCAGTCCACGACTCATAGGATTGTATTGATTTCAACTCCTATCGGTCAGTCCTTGACTAGCATTGGTCAGTTCATGACTCATGTTGATCAGACCATGGCTCGTATTGATCAGTCTATCGGCACATTACTCATCTTGATAAGGCAATGACCCATCAAATTAATCAGTTTGTGAGTCGAATTGATCAGTACATTACTTATATTGATCAGATCATAATTCAAGTTAATCAGTCATTGAATCATATCGATCAGTCCTGGTCTAATTTTGATAAGTCCATGACTCATGTTGATGGGTTCAAATTGATCAGTCTATAACTTAAATGGATCAGTCCATGACTCGTATTGATCAGTCCATGACTCATTTTGATCAGCAAACACTCCGATAGAATCGTCCATAACTATGATAAGTTCAGACTCATATTGATCTATGACCCCAATGGATCAGCCAATAACCTGTATTGATCAGTCCATGACTCATAGGATTGTATCAATTTAAACTCATATCGCTCAGTCCTTGACTCGCATTGGTCAGTTCATGACTCATGTTGATCAGACCATGGCTCGAATTGATCAGTTCCTGCCTTATTTTGATCAGCCCAGTCCAGTCTATGACTACTATTGTTCAGTATATGCACACATGTAACATCAATCCTGATATCAAAATGGACTTCCTTTTTGCTTCTCCGGAAATGAAAAATATTTGCGTCTATCTGTCTATAGTATATCTATCTGCATCTATCATAACAGCATGGTGATATTTGAAACAAGTTTATTTACAAATGAATCTGTATATACATAACCCATATAATAAAATATAATAATAATCTTATACACAATAGGATTTACCCTCAGATAATACAATACATGACTTACAGTACGTTACAAATAATAATAAACAGTTATCTGTCCCTAAAACAACCAACAAGCATGATAATAGTTTCCAAAGATAACAATTCTTGTTTACATTATTTATGAAGTCCAAAATTTATTAATAAATAAACTGTTGCTTAATTACCATAGACTAGGACTGGATGTTTCACCAGATGGGGACTATCTTGGTATCATGAAATAAAGAGTTGACAAACTGTGAAGTCTTAATCTAATTATCAAATGTAATTTTCTTGATGAGCCTCTATGACATGATGGAAACTGGTATATTAGCGTTTGTGATAACGTAAGCACATAAAGCATATGCCTGGATGATGTTTCCTTTTCATAAAGCTTTCATGGCTCAGTAAAAGCTGAGCTTAATTTTACCAAGTTAGATGTAATGAAATGGAGTTTTAGATCTGACTAATTAACTTAGGTTACCTATTGAAGTGAATCTTTTTTATATGTTGAAGTGCAAAAAATGACATCAATAACACTCTGGAAATAAATAATTTTGAAATGACAATGATAATTTACAGTAAATATATTAATAATTTTACACCCTTGGTATATACAATATAATATTACAACCATTCATACATCCCTATCACATTCATACTAATATATATATTACACAGAATTATAGCCTAGTTAGCTATCACTTCAACCTATTATTGACCTCAACTGTTTTAAATTCAATTCATTTACATTATTACAGATTCAAATAATAAGTTCTCTTGCCTTTGTATGTGTACCAGGAACCCATAGAGCTTCAAATTCCAACATTTATATTTCCTGAAAGGCATATGTGGTTCCTGTCATTCAACAAATTATGAGTTTCCTGTTCCAATAGCAATTTTAACATATGAATAAATTAATTGAAATATAATGAAAGTGGTATGAGAAAATAAGGAACATCTACTATAGGATACTATAACAACTAACCTGGGCAATATACATTATATATCTCTAACTGATAATAGCAAACGTGATTCACAAAAAAGTTTGTATAAAACTATGCCTTGAGTCAAGTACAGAAGCAATGACTTGAGCTTTATTAAAACAAAAGCAACAAGCATCTATGCCTGGAGTTAAGTAAACATACAGTAAACATACAGTAAACATACAGAAGCAACAACTTCAGCTTTAATAAAACATTGATATAAGGCAGGATTTGAAATATCTTTGGAACTAACTGGTGATAGTGATATTTTAAGCTATTTGGAATGTACTACATGTAATAAGTGTTAAACTAATTATGTCCAATAAACAGTTAATTTATACAGCCTAAGTAAATTTAAGAAACAACAGTTTTATGGATATAAAATTCTATTTATCATTTAAACACAATGTTTAATTACACATACAGGTAACGTTCTCAAGTGATAAGGTTACCTGTATATAATAAACAGCAGTTTATATCCATTAGGGTTGGGTAAAATGATCGAAATAATCAATTATCGTTGACATGGAATTTATAACTTCGATTAACGATTATCAAATTTCATAATCGATTATATGTCATTGTTGCACTGTAACAAGTAGTAATCTCTTCCACAAAGTTTTCCTTCAGCACATGAAATATCCACATGACGCAAAAATTACCCATAAAATTAAGAATTTTGAATGTTGTCCGTTTTCAAATCAACATTACTTCCACCTAAAAATAAGTGGACAGATCATATTTTGAATCGTTCTGAGATAAGAACATATTCTTTACTCAACTATACCAAAATAAACACCAGTAAAAACCATATCAAATAGAAAATTGTAATTATTATAATTTATCACTCAGTAATTATATTCCTACAAACTTCACCACATAATGTTTTAAATTTTCACTGAGAAACGCTCATGGGCCTTATTCTTGAAAACTTCACTGAAGATGATTTTACTTTTCCAGTCATCTAATTGGTCGATCACTAAAATCGATTTTAAATTCAATTATTCTATAATCAGATTACTGTGTTCCTTAAAATCTTGATTTTATCTTAGTGAAATTTTTGAGAATAAGGTTTTGCTTTCTTTATTTCCTTTGACCCAAAATCACAACAAATGAAGAAATCTTAAGATTATTATACCCAAGCATTGAAGCTAGACAGCATATTTTGACTTTCATGATGAAACCAACCCTGGACGAGTTAACATTTTACCAGGTGATGATGCAATAAACTATCCTTGTGTTGTCAAACAAAAATATTAGTGCATTCAAGTCAAAGTTCAAATATCAACACGTAACTGTTAGGTTGATTAAGTGGTAATGAACACAATGCACATGCAATATTGGCTTTGAACTATTCTACTTCAAAATATAGGACTGTCCTTGGTCATGTTTATAATCAGAGAAAAACATATCTTGCAGGACTTAACAAATAAATCCAGGGAAAATCTGCTCAACAATCTCACACATTACAATTCCATTCACTCTAGTACTCACAAAATACATTAAAATAACCAAAATGTGATGCAGTGATAAGATTTATCACAAACATCATTTGTTCCAGGTTTCTATATATATACAGTTTAAACGTCTACATCCCACAGTTCTACTCTTAACCTCAGTAGAATAATTTACATTTAAAATAACTTTATTTAATAAACACTACAACCTGCTGGCACATGATCCAATTTGATACGATATACTGGTAAATAACAAATTATTTATTTTCATAGGCCTCAAATTACCTGGCTGTTTCAATTTATGGTTTCTCATTTTTCTTCAAATTTTCTGCTATATATATATATATATATATTCATTTTAGAAAAGCTTCATGCTTATTGGATCTGCTGGATATTTGAAGAGGCAAGTCCAAATACATTTCATTGGATTTATACTACGCTTCACTGAAGTGAAACAATCATCAATATTCAATAAATTGGATTATGTAACATGACTGTAGAGTGAACACTTGTAAATAAATTCAAACATCCTCTTTCCTTCAGAATCATATTCTGGTCCATTTACTTACACTTTTATTCTATATCACACCATGTTTACAATGCAGGAGAGATAGAACCATTCAATCTGAGAGGAGTAAGACACTCATCTTTATTCCTGAACTTGATAACCTATGAGGGCCATTCATCACTCAGAGAAAATTGATATACATCAAAACACTGAAATCAAGGTCGATATTTCAAAAGAACACAAAATCCAAGAAGCAAGCAACTTAGGAGTCAACAGATATCAAATCTGTGTTTTCTAGGTGATATCGTGTTGGTCTGTTTTTGAGTCAATATTTGTACACCAGACATCAGAAGTTGTTTATTTATAGGTAATACTACTGTCTGATTATTGCAAGATGTTTCAAAAGTTTGAAATTCAGCAGCAAGACTATTTGTTATTGTAATAAAATCATAAAACATTTTCTTTCATTTTCTGTACAGTTGCATCTCAACCTTATCACAGGCTTACAGCAAGGCGACTTGAGGATGTTTTCTAAACATTGGAATGCTCACTGTATTCAATGTCACTTGTATCAACACTATAACCACAGATATATCTAGACATACTCTCTCCTGCATTGGTTCAGTCTTTCACCACTTAAGATTCATAATATTAGTTCACATAAAAAGTAAGATAGTCACATTTATCAAGTCCCTCAGTAAATAGTCTCAGATATCCAGATTCAACCATATTTTTAGTCAATTTTGACTGTGGAGTAGATTTTACGAATAAACATGCTAGTTCCCATGTAACCAAACGTACCTGAAACAAGATTGGGAAAGATTTGAAATTAGAACCAATTTATCAGCAGGTTCTTTCCTACTATCTGTGGTGAGTTTTATTGTGTTTTTTATTCTTACTAAATGGGCAAAAGCAAAGTATATATATATATAAATATAAACCTGTTCTAAAATATCCCCAAGAATAAACATGGAATAAACAAAACTCATATGAATAATTACTGGGAAAAAGAATTTTTGATTTCATAAAGTTGAAACTTACTCTCCCCCCCCCCTTGGGAGTAAAAAATTACTAGCTACAGACATAGAAGATTAAAATAAGGACACCTACCACACATTATTCCTAGAGCAGCACTAAATAAAGCCATATAACCAAAATAAAACGAAGTCTGGAAAAATCCATACATTCTGAAATAAAATACAGTATTTACCTTATAAAACTTGTCTCAATGTCAAATCTATACATTTAACAAGAGTAACAGATGTTCTATAATAAAGATTTGATGTCTTACTGATATGTACACGAGTCCTATTTTCAAAATATACAGCCATTATGAGAAATAAATTTTCGATCAATTTAAGTAAAAGATTAATCAGTGCTCAGTGAAAACACCAATGATCATGAAGAATCCTAGTCTTAAGGTTTTTTATTTTTTCGTAAAGGAGCTTTTCTACACTAATGGCTGTATCCAGTACTAGCACCAATTAACAATTGTTCTCAAAAGAGATTGTATTTTTGTCTCTCTCTCTACAACTGTATTACTTGAATTAAAAGATAAAAACATATACTTACTTTGTTTTAAAGAAGAAATAATAAAATGAATAGAGATAGACGTATCCTGATGTAGAGGCAGCAGCTAGAAAACTTGTCCATTGCCTGTAATTATACAATATTTGTCTGGTTAAACAGTGAAGAAGTAAAGTTTTGGACAAATTTTGTCAAGTTTTATTTAATCTGACCGTCAAGCCTGATTTTGATTAATCAGATAACTGTCTTACTATTCTAAAGCGCAGATATAACCATTTAGGAATCTTTGGTCTTTTCTGATGCAAGAATGTTAACAGGCTTGAAATGACAGCAGTTAACCTTTCAAATGAAGGGATCGAAAACAAGGCTTCTAAACCAGAAAAAATGCCACAGTGAAACCAATTTATGTGTAGACCTTCAGTTCTCTTCTAGAAGTTATAATAAACTAATAGATTGTAAAAAGATGATCATATTATATACACAGTTTAAAACGCCTGAGAAACAGTCAGTTATTTTCCTCAGGAGCTGGACTGTGATGGTATAATATTATATATGTATTTATCATAAGGAGTCTACAAGTTATTAAACTTGTTTGAAATCCTACTATAATGCATCTTACATGAGCAATGAATCAACCACGTGATCTCTTCATTCATACTCGTAGAGCAAATATCTCACCCACTCTACTTGACAATACTAATGACTTATAAACATTTTTCGATTCTTTTGATTTTCAATAGGGTTCATCCTTGGGTGATTACGAACACTCATACCAAGTTTTATCAAAATCCGTCGAGAATTGTGTCTTGTAGAGTGTTTACGAGCAATTGTGGACGGCATTTCATGTGGGTGTATAATAAAAGGATACGTACCAGCGATAGTCCTCAGCATTCAGTAAGAAATAAGTACACACAATAGTAACACAGACAGTAACAATAGCTAATATAACAAACACCAGTAACATAAAACCATAAACATAGTAGATTTTATATGCCCAGAATGATGTGAAGATGAAATACCTGAAATAGAGGAAAAATTAATCATAAACCAATAAATAAATGACTAAATGGGAATGAACCGAAATTTTACATCCTACTTTTTGCTCGTCATACTTCCTCATGGCCGGGCCGTGGTAACACAAATGAGAAAAATTACATATTCATAGCTAAATATTGTCCAATCAAAATTGGCCCTACTGTAATGGTAGCAAAATATCAGCCGATCAAAACAAATCACTCGTTATGACGCTTTGTTTACAAGACCTCTGTTCTATCGATCTGATTGGTCAGATTTAAATGCCACCAATTTCATTTGTTTGCCCCCAAAACAAAGTGAAGTGGATTTAGTTTAATACAGGTTAATAAAACCATGTCAAAACCCGTATTCATAATAAATGCTCTAAATTGGGCTGATGAAGAGGAAATTACCATGCAGAATGAAATGAAGAAAATTTCAAATTTACACATTTTTATCTTTAACACATGGGATATCAATTTACTGTTGGTAATATCATACTGATGTGTCAAAAATGTCTTAGTTGTTTTGATAGTGTAGAGAATTCTATCATTAAATTATGCCAAGAATAGACTCCAAAGTCCTTAGGTTTGACCCTAGAGAGTTGGGCATTCCTTCATTCAAGGAATAATAAGATTTATTTCTCTATTGATGAATAAAAGAAAAATCTCTTATCATTCCTTGAATGTATAACAAGGCTTGAAATTTTGTCTATAGTGTAGTTCATCAGTTCTCTTCTAGAAGTTATAATAAACAAATAGATTGTAAAAAGATGATCATATTATATACACAGTTTAAAACGCCTGAGAAACAGTCAGTTATTTTCCTCAGGAGCTGGACTGTGATGGTTCTTATTTTTTTCATTTAACATATTTTGAGTACAAGTAATTTTAAGTAAGATATGAAGTAGAAAAGGATTAACAGTACTTACATTTCAATGAAGATAGAACCAAAAGGTAAAATACCACCCAATACAACTATCACAGCTGGCTCCATAAACCTGTAATATTGAAAATAAAATTGAGTTAAATTTCTTCATCTGTTGAAGGTTGAAAATTCTGAAAACATTATCTTGATTATGCGAGGGTCAATCCCTGGACCTTTAGGTTAACGAGTTTTATACATCAAGCTTGAAAATGCTTTTAGACGAACATCTTACACTTTGTTTTATAAAATAAGGCAAGCATTTGACTCACTGAGCCAAAGGAGATCCTTAATCAATGAAAATGTGTAGGCCCTCAGTTCTCTTCTAGAAGTTATAATAAACTAATAGATTGTAAAAAGATGATCATATTATATACACAGTTTAAAACGCCTGAGAAACAGTCAGTTATTTTCCACAGGAGCTGGACTGTGATTGGAATAAGAAGGAATAAATCCCAAATAGGGCAAAATATGACAATATCAATAGTTTCCACTAATAAGATAAGAATTTTAAACTTCGTACCATTTTTTCTCTGGTATAGGTCTGGGTACAGCATTGATTCTACAGGGGTAGTTAGGTTGGCCTGCCAGATTTCTACCCAATACAGTTCCCACTAGAGTTAAAGGCAGGATAACAAATATACAGATACAAGTTACAGCAACCTACAATATATAATAATATCTTATACTAGAACTCTTCAGAGTTAGTACAACATTAGTTTTGACATTGTGGTAGCAATGGGATGTCTGAATTGTGGTCGAAGGTTTAAAATTTGGTGTATGAAAGTCTGGCGACCTTGAATAATTCATCTTTCCTCCAATGATCAAGCTATAATTAGGTACACATTCTCAAAGAAAGATCCATGCCAGGAGGTCTGACCAAAGATCAGCTGGTAGAAAGGATCCTTGTGAACCAAGATAATAATCCTGGTACATGTATTACAGAATAGTAACCAGTTTTTCATCTATAACTCCATCCTCGATAATGTCCATTTGTACCTCAAATTCAAGTTCATGTTTTGAACAGCTTTAAATTACATGTAAACTTACCATAGTACCGAAGGGTATGGCTCTAGAGGCATGGTAATAAATAGCTATAAAATTAACAAAGAAAGCCAACCCACAGGTTAATGCTGGCATCAAAAATGCACTAGCCATCATCTGTTTTATCCATAGTTTACCTGCAAGAAAGAAAAGATCTTTAGAGTTTATACTTTCATAAAATAAGAAGTGAGAATTTGGTGGATTTTCTCACTGTATAATATAGTTGAATGAAGATATTTTTTAACTTAAGATTATAAGGGCAGGGCAGGGCAGGGCAGGGCAGGGCAGGGCAGGGCAGGGCAGGGCAGGGCAGGGCAGGGCAGGGCCTATAAATATAAACAGTCTACTTCACTAATATCAAAAATAATTATCACAATGGGAACTTTCCACAAACACATCAGAATGTCAAATGATTATAAAATTATTTCTTTCAACAACTTAGAGGAACATGTACCCTTTTGAAATCTTGATTTATGTGTCCAGTATATGTAAATAGGAGCCCACCAATATATACACAATCAACAATGTAAGTTAATATATCATACCTCCCATTCTAGAATATAGTCCACCTCCAAAGTATCCATTGACAGGAGCTGTAGCAGCATACACAAATATAGACGTACTTAATAACGATCCACGTCTGAATAAACACAAAAGTTAATAATAATCATTAAACAGGTGTACTGGACAAGACTGAGCAAACCAATTTTAGATATATATAATAAAAGCAATAACTTATTGACGATTGTTAAAATAAAACTCATAGTACATGGTTTGATAAAGGCTAATATATAATTCCTCACAAATCATGTCATAACCAGCATAGCTAAGATTTGGTTTAATAACAAAATAGTTATGCTTCCTCATAATTCCACTATACAACTGGGTTTATCACCTAAGAGTATCTTATCCACAATTTAGTTAAACATTTTGGCCAGATTTATTACTAAAGTCAAAGAAAGCCTACTTACTCAGTATATAATTCACCAACTATAGCAAACAATATAACACAGAGTGATACAGTTCCAATATGGTAACCAGTACCTATTAGGGCTGAGAATAACAGAGGATGGGAGGCTGGTCTAAATACATCACCATGAACTTGTTTCCAACCATACTCATCACCTAGATCTTTCTCCTGTAATATTAAAATAAGGTTTTAATCAGTTGTAGGTGTCACTGAAAAAATCTAATATATATACTTCTTTTTGATAAATATTTATTTCACAACTACAGTTGTTGCCTCAAGACAGCAAAAATGAGAATTTTCAGCTTAAGACTACTCTTTTCGTTCATGGCGTACGGTAAAGTAAGACTCCATACACTTTATTTCATTTCTAATCTCTAGTCATTCAGATGGGACGATAAACCGAGGCCCATGTGCATCGGTTTATTTTATGTGCACGTTAAAGATCCCTCAACAGTTGGAAATCGAAAAAGAGCAGCACCTTCTGGACTAATGAAGACAGGCAACATCATGCAGTGTGCGATTTTTCGATTAGAAAAATATTCAAAAAAGCACCCCGAAAATGAATATAGAAAGTTATATCCTACCATATCATCTAAGTCCTCTTCTTTACTATATCTAGCATAATCTTTACGTAGGGTTCTCATTAATATCATAGAGACTAGACCAACCAGAAATATTACCATCATAAACGAATTAAATATACTGAACCAGTGAATCTAAAAACATAATAATATTCATGGTAGAATAGGATTCTAGGCTGAAGAGGCTAAAAAATTGTTTCAGATATCTAAATTTATCTATCAGAAGGGGATTGACCCTGAAATGCTGGGGTACATATAACACACAGGGCCTCTTTAAAAGACAAGATTTTTCCAATTGAGATATAATTCTGATTAGGAAATATTTGTTCTGCCATTGAACACATAATAAATATAGTGGAAGAATAATACTTACTCTATGTTGGAAGAAATTGGGGTCTAAATATTTATCAAATCGGTCTTCATATCGGATTTTAGATGTATGCCATTTAATCTGTAATAAACAGACATATTTCATATATAAATTTTTAAGCAACAATTTCTGCTTGGAAGACAATTATTAAAATTCTTATCACTTAGACAATTGTCACTAAATTGTCTTTAGAATTGTTCTCCTACTCATTGTAGGAATTAAAGTGCTATGTATACATGAAAACTCCACTTCCATAAACCAGTATAAAATATTCTCAGCTTGTGTCAAAAGATTTAAATGAATTTAACCCGTACAAGACATAAGATTATGAAATGCTATCTGTCATACTTGTAAAACCTTAGCTCTATCAGCTGTCATAAAATATTCTCTTCTCTTAAAGCCATGTAAAATTGTACACAGAAATAATACTTTAAGCCAGTTTACCTCATATGTAAATGGTATTTTAGCATTCATTTCTAGTTTTACTTTAACTTCGCTAGTTAAATTGACATCAACTATCTGCCTACCATTATAACCAATATCAAACTTTTTGTGGCTCCAGATGTAGTATTCTTTTCCATTATTTTCATCAATTTCACCAACTATACCTGTAATGATGAGAAACATGAAGAATTATCAAAAGCTCTTGTTAACATCTCAACATTGAACTTAATCTTTAGAATTGTGTATGGCAGAAAAAGAATGATCAAACTATGAAAGTATTGGTGTTCCGGCATACTTTCATTTTTTAGCAAATTTGAGACAATTCGATGAACAAACAAATGACATTGCCGATTTTAATCTCTTCAAGTTTTGAATTATTGATTCCTTTAATCAGAAATAGAGTTTTTAAATGATAAGATACAAAATATTCCATAAATTCATGAATAAAAAAAAAAGCCAATTGTCAAGGTGTCCATTGATTACCTACCCCAGATAGGTAAATCATCAATATACATCTGATACCAATAATGATTCTGAACAGCATACACGAACGCCTGTAGTTTATCTTCATTTAATTCTACACTACAGTACTCTGTTTTACTCATATCACCTGTAATTTATATAAAATACAATGTTAAAAAGGTAGAAACATTACAATGTTTATTCTCTTCCTCTGGTTCCAATGTCACAAATCAAACCATATTTTATATATACAACTATGAATTTCAAACAGTGAAGTCAAGCCTTAAGGTCATCATTGAGATTTTAGCAAAACTTCATTTATTTAAAACACAGCAAATTGGTTCATGGATTTCTTTTTTAAGTTGATTCTTAAAAGCTTTTTAAGATAAGACAATCCTCAAAACTTCCTCTGGAGAAAAAATTTGGAATAGGCATAAGCTTATCTAAAAGTTTCTTGGGTCAGAAAAACTCAACATGCAACACCCATTTAATTACCCATAATGAACACCCACCTTTAAAATCAATATCTATTCCACTGAACTCTAACTCAACACCCAACAGAGCTTCTCCCAGAGTTTCATGATAATGGCCGATACTTTCTTTTGACCCTCGACAGAATGGTAGAGAGAAATATTCATAAGTTTCCTGTCTGTTATGGTAAGGTCCAACTGTATTCATCCATAACACCACTTCTTCAGCATCTTTATACTGAAAATACACCAAATAGACCATCAAAATACTGGTTGATTGTGAAACTTATAGAATTTATTTGAAAAATAGTAATTAAACTTCAGGTTAAAAGCTTTAAAGGCCTATCATACGGTTATAAATCTAGGGTCAAACACCAGTACAGCAGGCCGTAAATATCAGGCCAGTTTTAGAATTTCACTATCGTCTGAGTTTTGTTGGATTCACACAAAAAAGTGTTTGTGACATTACTGAAACACGTTTTTTTGACACTTATTGTTATCACTTGTGAAATAGAAATATATAATGTACTCAATCATGAATGTTTGCGGATGAAATTGATCAATATGAACAAGTGGTAGCAGATGACAGATGTAATGTACCCTTTTTGACTTGTGCATACAATACTAGCTATATGAAACTGATAAATGTAAGACAATGTTATCTATACAATGGTCTCAATACACATGCAGGGTCAAGATGTCTCGTGGTCAAAATTATCCCATGTTCCATTGAATGGAAACACGAGAGCCTGACATCTTTTATTCAGGCATTCAGAACCGTAAATATGGCATAAAGTTATTTCTTTGTTGGTAAAGATTAAGTGCAAAAGTTGCTTTGCAAGTGAAGACATGGCTTCCAGGCCAAAGCCAAATCTAATGAAAAAGGAGACTATGTTTGGTTCTTAAACAGAAATAACACACACAAGCATAATTCACAACCATAAAAAGGTTTAGAAATGGCTTTAAATGTAATTTGAAGGCTTCGTTGAATATTACAACCTTTTTCAAATTCGACTAATGTCTAAAAAGAGATTCAAAATAGTTGTTAACTACATTCATGTAATAATCAAATGTTGTTTCGTGTCTGCACTGTTGTTATCTCTCAAAAATTGGTTTAATAATTGAGAATGTGATTTCAACTTCTATAACATTTGAAATACCAGTACAAGGTCTTCTTAAAGAATTAGTTTCGGTAAGCTTTTATTGATTTACTGAAAAGTTTTAGACTGAGAGTATAACACTGACTTTACGTTCAACAAATACAAACATAATCCAACCAAGTAGAATGTCTCAAATTTAGTTTGATATTTGAGATAAGATACTAAACTGCTTTATTGTAAGAGTATCAATACTCATTTAGATTACACATTTGAGTTGACATTACATGAATCTCACATAGGACCTACAAAAAAAGTTAACGAAAAGCGGAAACGAGAAAGTGTAAAAGTTCGATGCACAAGGCCAAACCAAAATCGGGGAGTAAGTAGATCAACCTATCTACCTTTACATACCCGATACCTACATTTGAAGATTAACAACTTGAGCAATGTAACACCTATCCAATACATGATAAAATGCATTAGATTAACGGAGGGAAAAAAATTGGTTGCTCATATTCAATGTTTACATTTTGCCAGCCGAAATTCCTAAAACTGAATTTATTCAAAACTGATACTTACAATATGCGTATGTTCGTCCCCACCGGCACCATAAACCAAAACTAGAACCAGGAGACAAAATCTTAAATGTTTCTGGAACATTTTAATGCAGTATGCACTTCTCGATGGTTGGGCTAAATTGCGATAAAAGTGGATTTTCAGACACTTGACGACCCAGTTAGTGAACAAAAATGGCTGCCTCCATTGGCCACGTAGACGGAATTCAGGGTACGTAACTCTTCAAAATTATGACCACAGATAACTACTATAAAAAAATTCAGAGCCGTATATAGAGAGAGTCTGGCCAATTACGTCACAAGGCCCCATCTTGTTACCCTCTCTTAGCTACAAGGCGGCCGACGTTATCCCTCGTAAACTCTCTAGAATTTACAGTTTTTAACCGATTTTGATAAAATTTGGTATGTCTATACAAAAACACAAAAAGAAGACAAATTTTGAATTTTAGCACTTTCCAAATATTAATCACCGAAATATTAAACCTGTAATCTTCCATATTAAAATAGCTAGGGCCTAGCTGTATATTCTACAGCTATATGGAACAATAGGCTAATCACTAGTTATAGTTTATGCAACATATTTATAAGTAATATAATGTATAATATAATTCATATTGTTTTTGATCAATAGGCCCGTGTGCCTGACTACTGTCAAAACGGTGCATAAACTATAACCAATGAGTTTTGTTACATAAAGCTTTAGAATATAGTGAAGTTAGTATAAAGGACTGAACTCCATCTTTGCCGAAGAAATTTAGTCATCATGAAAATTGCTCAAAGCAAGATGTGCACTATAAATCGTTATCAACAGAAAGTTTCTCTTTGACTGTCGTCGAAGTGATTCTGGAAGAGAAAACAAAATTTACACAAGTGTCTAGCCCAAAAGACTTAGTGTTCACATTATAGTCTAGACCCACAGTCTACATTGCCCTTCCATATTTTTCTGCGAATGTCAATAATGAAATAACATACACAATGGTGGCGTTTCATTTGATCTCTAAAGGGGGTGGGGTAATACTGATAGGCATTTAGGAAATCAATGATATTGATAGGGAGAAGGATGGTGGTGGTGGGGGGGGGGGGGGTGTTGAAAATCAGGACCATCACAAATATTAGGAGCCATGGCCCCTTGCCTCACCGTACAAGCACCAATATGGAGCACACCTTTAAATTATACTGTTTGTTTTGGTGATTGGAAGTAAACAATACTAAATAAGTAAATAGTCTTAGAATTTCACATTTATAGAAAAACATAAATCGATCGATTAAGTGTAGGCCTATCAGAAATGTTGACAGTGTCTCAGAAGCCATAGACATAGTGCATGCTCCTCGTCTAGGCCTAGGCTTAGATAGCCAGTGCGTGGAAAGAAACCCTCTCACAAAGTTTCCATATCTATTATATCCAGTTTTTAGACCTGAACCTAACACAATTTGAGGCATTCTGTTGCCAGACAAGACCAGGAATTAGGCTTAAACAACGTAAAGAATACCCAGGCTCCTACGCCTAAACGTCGCGGGAAGGGTAACAATATGGCGGCCTTCAATCACGTGACCGCTCTGCGCCAATCATGGTTCAGCGCGGCGAGATCACAAGTTGGCCAGACTCTATATACGGCTCTGAAAAAATTAGTCTTATTATAACTCTGTATGGTCGTATATGTTTTCCCCCAATCTTATTTTGTGTCACCAGATTTTAAGACGCATGAAATTCAGGTTAAGTTTGATTCAAAATTAATTCAATACGAAGACATTTTACAAAAAAGTGGGTTAGATTCCGACAGAATTGCAAAAATTTAATTTGTCATAGAATTTAGTTACTTCATAAAACCGTGTAAGTTTATGTACATATGAGAAACTTTCCAGATCATTTATTATGGATAACGTTTGCACTATACAAGGGTAATGCTTGTCGGACTATTAAACTATAGTTGAGTCATTTTACGTTTTTATCTAATTGTAGACGTATTGTGTGTAGACATTTTGAAAAGTATTAAAGATAAAGGGAATTGAAATAGCTTTGACAAACTGTTCCAGGTGATAAGAAATGAATAATTTCCAAAGCAAATATCCCAAAACTTTCACTGTCGCTGCATCTTTATATGCTCCAAAGAAATAAAAAGTTGAAGATATGGAATTTCGCATCTTTGTTTTGTAAAATTATTTATTTCATTGAGTGAATACCATGCGAAGAAGCAGAGTGGCCACAATCAGCCATCATACGCCATACAAAGCAGATAATTTGCTTCTTTTGCTATAAACTTTAACTAGTTTAAGTAAGCAAATACAGACAGAGCTACGTAAACATCTGCTTTTAACCCTCTACCTTATGCTATTTAAAACTGAAATCCAGAGCCGTATATATACGGCTCTGACTGAAATCGAATTGATCTAGTTGTTGTCTGAAGTAAGGTCTACTATCTATTACCAGTTGCGCCCCTTATTACACAGTGCTCTTTCGTTTTGAAGATTTGTTTATTGTAACTAATGTAAACAGATACCTGTCAAAACTATCACAATAATAAAGAAGTGAGGACAGCGTCGTTGAATGTTGATCATTTTGAGACCATTTGGACACATTTTTGAAGAAAAAAATTATGGCTGATACACCACAGCACACGACTGCCCATGGAATGGAACCATATGATTTGTCCGGGCCTACAGAACTGGGTGCTTTAAGTAAAGAGCAACAGGAAAAATTGAACTCATTCAAGATAAAGACTCGCGTAGGAAACGAAGCGTACATGAGGGAACACCCTGAAATAGAGTGTATGCTCGATGGATTTTTAAGTGACGTTTTGACCAAACGACCTGAGAATATACGAGAATACGCTGCCCAATATTTCACCGTAGCAGATTTAAATGTGATTGTGGAAAAACAAATGGAAAATAGACAAAGTTGTATGAAACAAAACAAAATTTTACAGAAAATAGGACGCTTATGAGTTATGAACATTATTCTAAACACAACCAAACAGTGATATTTCAGAATGGATTCCTGTAATAGACACAAATATGTAATATTGTCTTAAATTATATACCGGTATATGATTGTATTTTTTTTTTTTTTTTTTTTTGCGGATTTTATGTTAAATTTGAGTAATTACATGTGATATGCTTAGCTACTAAATTCGAGACTCTCAAATGGTTCATACTTTAAAAGGACAGTTGTGCCATTTTTTTGACCAATTGTACCTTAGTTACAGAAATTGGAATTGTTTAGCTAAGCTAATTAATAGTGTTCACAGCTCACCATCGAAGTTTGAGCCTTCAAATCCACGTGTGTCAAGAATTATCTCTTATTGACCAAGTTTGAGACTAAAAATTCCATGTCCATTCTGAGAGAGATAGTATTCGTTTAAGTGTATGGAATGCAAACTAGAGAGTAGCCTAGTGCATAATAATTATAATGATAAATAAAAAAGATAATTGATTTTCTTGTTTACCGTTTAATTTTTGGATTTTTTTTACAAAGCTTATAGCTTATCTTCAACGATGTGGAATTGAATGAATAATAATATAATATGTTGAAAATGTTATTGTTTTTCTCTTAAAATAAGCGTGTATTAACTTGTTCATGTGGTTATAGGGGTATAGACATGTATCGTTTGTACAGTAATTCTTACAAGAATTCATAAAAGCCAGCACAGGTATTCAAACGATACTACGTATGGTTCTTACATGTATATACATGAAACACACACGAACGTAGTTCACAACCATTTTGAATCACTTTTTGGATTTAATAAATCGAATTTTCAATTAGGCTTTAATAGTTCAACTAAGCCTTCAAATCACGTTTAAAAGTATAGAAATAGCTTGAAATGTGATTTGACGTCTTGGTTGAAATAAAACTGTCTTTATCAAGCTTTAGGTTAACGTTACAAGACACAACAAGACACTCATAAGAAAGACAGTTCCAATAAACCCATGATAAAAAAAAACAATCCAACGAGTCGACCATTTTCCACATTCGGATAATATTTACCGTTGTTAAAGGGCCATGGAGGCGGCCCCAAGCAACAAGATCCAATCTCAAGACAATCACCGACAGCACGGAAATCCCTAAATACTCATGAGACCAAATAACAAGACAGCCACAATACATCAATGTTTAAACCCACAAACCAAATGAACTCAAGAGACCCTATAGCAAAAAAATCTTATTAATAAAGTCTATCATGAATGATTTTAAACAAAGGTATATTTTTACTTTTTGTAATAATAATATACTCCCAGGAGATCGATAATTACTGTCAAAAGTTTTTAATCTCGGAAATGCAATGCAAAGTTACATTGAAAATGCATTTGATTTATCGAATAGATGAACAAAAACATGAGCATAAAACGACCTTAAGGTCATTAAGTCAAAGTAATGGAAATGAAGCACCAGATATCCAAACGGTCTACCATGAAAGTTCTTCTAGCGCTCTGCAATAGATTCACGATATACGAATACTTATACGATATACGAAAACTGCCGAGGATTGCCGAATTGAGATTCTCATCAAGGAAAAGTGTCGACGTATTTTCTAGCAAAGATATTTGGCACACCATGGTTCAATGCAAAATAGTAATACGAGCAGCCCACTTACTTATGGGTAGAATGAATAGAAATTGAAACTAAACAAGCTTGACCTATTCTGTCAATTACTACTTACGCTACCTCAATACAAAGTGGACTGCTCTGTGCAATTTTTTATTGGGACTCGAATGTGAATCTTTGCTTGACGATTATTCAAAATGTTATGATGGCGTGATTGACGTTTTAATTTCGCCATCCAAAGAATACATAAATGTACCGAATAAGACGATGTTCTATTTTGGATGCTTCGAATTCCCCACAAGTCTTGGTAAATCGCTTAATCATAGAGATTATTAAAACGGCATTATCTTAAAATTCTAAGAACGTCTTTTGTTCAAGGGTCATTGAATGTCTCGAGTACACTAAAGGCGCAAACAGACAGGTCAGTGCGTCCAAGTTAAGTACAAGGTGCCAGATTATCAATACAGTATTATAGAGGAAGCAAATCGCGTCTATACAATGTACCTGGACCTCATTTATAGAGCTGCAACTGAATATTGTAAACTCCTTTGTTTTTGCGCAGGTTGTAGAACAAGAACCATTTCCCATTTCAAATTGTTTATATTGCCCTGTTACGTTTTTATTAACTTTTCATTACAATTTGCAGAATTCGAGCCCGTGCCAGAAAGGATGAAAACATTATGGCGCTGTGTTCACAAACTTTTATCGCTTTGTCTGATTGGCTGTATTTGCTTGCTTCCAATCCAATCAAATTGCTTCATGTACTAGCTTCCATGATACAAGAAAGGTGACTATTGCAGCCTAGTACGAGTTTAACATTGTGAAGATGATGAATAACGTATGGGAACAGGGAATTATACCTACATTTTTGGCATGGGATTACAGCTTTAAGTGAGTTATGAAGTCTGAGATTGAAGGCGCGAGTTTAATTAGTTGTTTTCTATATATCTTGGCTTTATGTTATCAGCGACCAGATACCACCATACATAATCTGAGACAGTGGCGTTTCTAGAAAACATCAGTGAGGGGCCACACATTCTTTTTTTGACAAAACGTCACTGGTTTGAGACAATTCTTTTTTAATTGATGTTCTATCAATAATAAACCAAGAAACAAGGTAAAGTAACCAGAACGGAATGACATTCCATCTGGATAAATTGGTTAATGATTAAAAATGTTATACATGTATTTATCTCGATCGATAAAATCAAAACGATTCTAATGTGTGTATCAATTATCTTTACTATATAAAGCTGTCTATGATGTAAGGTTTCGGATAGTCTGCCAAATCAGTTGCTGGAAGCGGACGTTAGTTTGTTAACTTCGAACAACTACCTAGTCTGTAATATCAGTTAGCTGGACGAGGACGTTAACTTGTCATTCACTATCAACTACCTTGTCTGTAATATCATCTTCAGCTGAGAGCAGACATTAATATATATCATCTACCAGCAAATAGTGATAACAGTTTCTGCTGGAAGCGGACGTAAACTTGTCATCTACCAGCAACTCCCAAGTCTGTGGTATCATCTTCAGCTGGAAGCGAATGTTTACAAACCAACCATAGTTTGACGGGTAATCAAACATGTGGCAATGTTTCATATTTCTAGGTAAGACATTTTGTATTTTAGAAATCTCATTATGGTAACTAATCTGTTATATACAGATGAAATTCATAGCAACGTGACATGCGCAAGATAGGCTCCACAACTCTCCAATTGTGATTAACATCCAGGTGCAGATTGTTTTCAAGCTCATGTCAAAACAACAAAGCATTTCCAGAGATTTAACAGAGTGATACTCAGGTAGCAATATAAGGAGGGGGGTGGAGTGCTAAAGAAGAGTTTTAGCCCCCAATTGTATCCCATCGCATTTCATAAAAAATCACTTCCTCGGAGTTGCCGAATTTTTAATATCAACTTCGACGGTACTTGTACCCTCGTTCAGTCTGTCTCTGCCCCACAACCACCCCACACCCAGGCCCGGTATGCTTGCCTCGCCACTTTACACACTGTGATAACTATAACTCCATAATGTTAAAATGGAGATAAAAATTAAAACCAGGTTGGTTTTACTGTTTGATAGGCATTTAGTGATTGACACAAAATAGAAGATAAGTCTTTATGGATAACAATCAGGTCTAGATGTTTTGCAACTGTTCCCAAACACCGTCAACACAAAGTGAATTAGCAAAATATTAAGACCTTAGAAACAAATTAAAAGAAGCAATTCACATAAAAAGGTACCAACCGAGATGAAGGAATATATCCCCGAATGATTTAATTTTCACTATAAATTGTTTACTGTATTTTGTCTTAAGCATCATTCTGTGATTTTACAATTATTTGTAGTAATGTTAACTACTTAATATTGTTACAAGGAATGTACGATGGCGGGTTCTCACTTCGCTGATCGCTATTGTTCTAGTATTAAACCTACTGAAGCATGATGATCCGGTAAACAATAGGATTAAAACTATAGTCTATTTCCTATATAACATAAAAACAAACTCGGTAAATGTATGTTTAATATATTTTAATATACTACAAAATAGCTTACAATGTTAAAGTTCTGTATCACCAACTTCATCGCCATACTGAACAGGAGTTAGGGTATTATTATCACCAACTTCATCGCCATACAATACAGGAGTTAGGGTATTATTATCACCAACTTCATCGCCATACTGTACAGGAGTTAGGGTATTATTATCACCAACTTCATCGCCATACTGTACAGGAGTTAGGGTATTATTATCACCAACTTCATCACCATACTATACAGGAGTTAGGGTATTATTATCACCAACTTCATCGCCATACTGTACAGGAGTTAGGGTATTATTATCACCAACTTCATCGCCATACTGTACAGGAGTTAGGGTATTATTATCACCAACTTCATCGCCATACTGTACAGGAGTTAGGGTATTATTATCACCAACTTCATCGCCATACTGTACAGGAGTTATTGAGGAGTTTGGCTTTAAGTACATTTAGTCGTTCGTCAAGGGCTCTGTACCTCCTCTTTCTGTGTCGTTTTGTATGGAAGCCGGCTGCGGCCATATTACGAGAAGTCGAGAGACGAGAAAGCGAGGAAAAAGGCGAGAAAGCGAGGGTAAAAAAGGCGAGGAAAAAGGCGAGGAAAAAGGCGAGAAAGTGAGGAAAAAGGCGATATTCGATAACACTATAAATACTCTTGCCTTTCAAATTACACACTAAGTTATAAGAACTGTGCCTGTGCTTTCGTAACTATGTCATTAGTACCAAATTACAACCTATACTTCCTAAGATTTATAATTGGTTGAAAACTAAATTCCAGATCATGTTTAACATGGCATAAGACGTCAATTGATAGGCATATTCAATATTTCATTATAAATGAATATTTATTTCACTGATATATCGAATCCAAGGACCATAGTTACATAATAGAAATGAGACGCATTTGTTTGTTGCCCATGCCATTTCGTAAACATTTATATACAATTTTTATTCTTTAATAAAAAAAATCGATTTAATGCCAGATTCTCATTCGATTACCAATAATTTGAACGGACCGACCGACATGGATACCGATTTTAAATACAAAATGCAAAATAAAAAAAGGCGAGAAAGCGAGGAAAAAAGCGATAAAGCGAGAAAGCGAGGAAATGCATGTTTAAGTACATCTACAATTTCTTGTGTGAAAACAACATCTTAACATCGTTCCAATCTGGTTTCAGACCTAATGACTCTACCATCTATCAACTGATTGACATCAGTGACTATATCCTGAGAAATCTTGACGATGGAACTGAGGTTAAGGCAATATTCTGTGATATCAGCAGGGCCTTTGATCGCGTCTGGCACAAAGGTCTTTTATATGAAATGTACCAACTTGGTATAAGAGGCCAGTTTCATTCGCTCCTCAGCAGTTACCTCGGCAACCGAAACCAGGCTGTTGTTATAAATTCCGACCTAAAAATCATTCAAAATGGTGTGCCTCAAGGTTCAGTTCTCGGTCCTCTCAAGTTCCT